AACCATCCTTGCCTCTCACTTTCGGAAAAGGCATCAGATCTGGAAAGGATCTATTCAGTTCCATGTTCCCTTGTTCATATACTCCTTTGTTCTCTGAACTGATCTCTCACTTTTACCTCTGTCCATTTTCATGCTCAAACCGACAGTTTGCTTCTCATATTTGCTACTGCTCTATCTTGTGTGTTTTGCTTGGCCAGCAGAGATGTAGCTTCACTCTGCAAACTGTAGCTGAAACTTCGCCTGCGGCGTCACTGGCACCTGATCGTTATTCCAAGGGGTTCAAGAAAGAGGCCTCATAAAAGCGAAAGTATTTGAACACAGAATTATGGCTTATAATCCATCTGTCAGATGGCCTTTACCTTGAACTTGTCACAAGTCTCCAGATCACTCTGTATATAGACCAGAGAAGCCACATCTAACGACCACTGATGCTGCAGACGAGCAAAAAGTCTCAAACACCAAAGGAAAAGCTATTGGTTTATATATAGATATATATATATAGATATATACTGTGTTTACAGAGTCAACAAGTTAAATGCAATATTCATAAGAGCATTAACAATAAAAATACAATCTGTGTGTAGCCAAGTACAGACTTAAAATGGTAAAACAGGAAAAAGGATCTCACCAAAAGTACAAATATACAGTACAAATTGATTTATTTAAAACAGTTACAAAAAAAGCACAACAAAATAGAGATTATCCTTAGAATTATTAATGCTTTGTTAAAGATCAGGTAGGAGGAAAGGGGCGGGAACAAGGTCGGAGGGGAGCACCTGACTAGTTCTAAGGCTTTAGATACAATGCGGTCGGTTACATGTTAATACAGCCATTACATAACTGGGATTATAGTTGAGGGATCAGCACTTATCTACAAAGACCTCCTTGCCTCAGCGCAGCCCAGCCGGTTCCCCCGGTGCGACACGTCTGTTTCTCTGCTTTGCATGGGCAGACCCTCCCCTGGCGCTAAGGTGCCATGAAAGCGGAAAACAACTAGAATGTGCACGGGTGCGTTTGCAGGGTGGGGTGGCAGCAGCCTAGAAGGACCTTAGGGGCAAGTCCTGTCCTCCGTGGACAGATGTGAAGACCGTGGAAGGGCCTTGACCATCAGCATTTTAAGCCATACATGGAACACGCCCTGGGCCAAACTCTGTACAGAATGTGCATTCGTAGCCATCTTAGCAGCTTCTGCAAAGTTTCAGGCCCTAGGACAGCCTGAAAGACAAAGAGCAGTTGTGAGCGACGCTAGGGAAAGGCACATGTACTGCTGTGGGCAGGAACTAGCATTTGGGCTACTCAAGCTGCTGTAGTTTCTTTTACAATATTTTCTGAGTAACAAGGATTGTTAGTTCTCTACGGGGGAAAGTGACTTCAAGTGTGGGGCAGGGGACAGGGGGAACGGGGACACTTAATGTGAAAAGTGCATTATACTTGTGCACCTGCTGGAAAGGGGAGGCAGAGGGGCCTCTGCAGCTTTCCTTCTTTCCAGACAGAGCTTCCTCTGCATAGTCTGGTAGTGATGAGCGCTCGTCGCTTGGAGCAAGTCTCACGTTCCTGGAGCAACAGTGTACCCATAGCCTAGAAACAGGCCTGGCCTCTGCCAGGCAGCTGACCCAAGGAATGTTTCATGAGATGGGACAGATGGCTACAGACAGCCATTATTGCATCCTACCGACTCTTGCCACAGAGCGGGAGCTGGGTAAGACCAAGGCCAGGAGGCCTCCTCCTCTGGGTAGGACAGACCACAGCTCTCCTCCCCTTTACAATAGCAGCAGGAAAACAGTATATTTCTCTGAGAAGCCTGTCACATCTCTGCCAGCAGAAAAGCCCGGATAACCATCTCATTCCACAATGTCCTCCTGGCTTTATCTCCTCCTTTCCCTGTAAACCTAAGAAATGGGCTTATTCAGAGCCTGTCTCACGCGTTCCCTGTCTCAGGAGAGGCTCAACGCTCAACACAACCACCACCACAGGTGCTGAGCAACACAGCCCAACCCAGTAAGGACAGATTCCAGTGATTATGAGTACTGCTAAGCTGGGCTAGAGGGCTGCCAGTGGCCCCCTCCTGCCCACCACCTTTGGGGCAAGCAGCCAGATGCCCAGATTCTTCATCTCAATGCCCTGCCATGAGATGTGCCCCAAACCATTGCTCCCATAGAAGAGCTGGCAGCTGAAACATGCACAGCAGTGGGACCGACGGGGAGTCTGGATAGAAGCACCGAGGTCAAATTCACCCTGGCCCGTTCCACAGAGCTCACAACCGCACTCAACAGATGTGCAGCTAACCAAAGTCCAGGGTGAGCACCTTCACAGCCCTTCAGCTGCCTACAGTACTATTTTAGCCACACAGCATCTTGCCTCGTACATCAGGGTCTGCCCTTTCAGACCACTGTTCAGTGCGGCTGAGATCGAGGAGTAGTAGTTACAGTAACACACATGAGATAAGGCAGGCTCTCCAAACCCTCTCTCTAGGAGACAGAGGCTCCTGTGTTCAAAGATGCACATGAGGGGCTCTGCATCCTTCAGCTGCTCAGACATTCCCTCTATGCGCGCAACCAGCCCATCTACATTCACACGCCATACGTATGCAAAATCCCTTTCTTAGCTGCCTGCCACAGCTCTGAATTCCTCTGCATGCACCATGCAAAGAACAGGCAAGAGGACCTGGGCTCCTCTGCCTTCTGCCTTTGGCCACAGACACCCTGGATATCCTGAGCATTAAGTACTAACCAACATTAATCGAGGTCGTTGCGTAGGAAAGTCCAATGAATAGCAACAGTGAAACACACAAGGTGATGAGGCCAGGCACCTGGGCCCAGACAGTACATTTTACTGACAAATGGTGCCACGAAAACAGCATCTGTTCCCACAGCTGCTGCATCCAAGGAGGCAGAATCTTCACATGACAGCATCACCATGACTCCATACATTTCAAATGCAGCTGATGAGATCAGAAGCAGTATGTCATTTGGGGGAAGCTACGTGTGATACAGGCAGCATCCTCATCCTGGAGAAACCCCCATGAGGCACAAACACTGAAGGCATGAGTAGCGCATATCTCACCCATGGCCTGAAAAGAAACTGTCCTCCTGGTGCAGGCATTTCAAAGGCAACAGAAATGGCTAGCAATGTGCTAGGAAAACAGGACTGACGGCCTGGAGGGAAGGGACACTCTGGAGACTCTAATTTGCCTAATACCCAGGCAGAGCACCCCTCCATCACACAGTCAACTGAAACCAACCAGTTACAGGACACATTCCTGGAAAGTGTGCAGAACAGCCCTGAGACACCACCACTGCAAGCTGACGGACGGACGGCCACGCTGAGGAGAGGTGCTGACACACAAGCCATTCAGGGAAAGAGAGAAGCAGTGCCCTAGCAGTCAGGCATGCCTGACAGAAAACTTCAGGAAGATGAGAGAAGGGAGTATGCTGAACATCAGGAGCAGCATCAGGACTCTAGCGGGGACCTGCACACTGAAAAGAAACCCTCTCAAAAGCCTGGTCCTAGCACAGAGATGGGCACCTTAATACAAAGAATACTTAAGCCAAGTTAAGTCAGCGAAGACTCTTATCCTCAACATAATAGTGATGATTTTTAATTCTAGCTAAGCAGTTAGAGCTGGTGTCATAACACACCATCAGAGAGGGCAAATTAGTGTAACTACAGGAGCCTTCACTTGAATGGAGTGTTATTACCATAACGAGGTATTAATATACATTTGTATTAAATCTCACCGTGAAAAAGACTACTCTTGATTTTACCATGTTGTTTTACAGAGGAACTCCAAAGACAAGCATCAGAAAAACTAACACAAAACCACCCCAAAATGCCCTATGATGCTGTGATATTTTTTTGAGTCCCTACATTAGTCATAGAACTGTACTTAGCAGAAACTTTGTACCTTGCCTGCACATGCACAAACACTCGTCTCTCGTCTAGAGCTTATTCAGGAAACTGCCTGCAGGGAAGAATTAGCCATCTGGAAAGTTTTCTTCTGATTCAATTACAAAATAGTCTTGGTTCTTCTCACAGAAAAAGGATATGTTTCCATCCTTCCCTAGAGAATGTTGAATATATTTTACTCCATCTTTAAAAAAAAACCAACAAAACACCAAACCCCAAAATCCAGCCAAACAAAAAATCCCAACCATTCACCCATAGGCTAAGCCTCTGCAAAAGCTATAAGCCCAAGAGATTTTTTTTTTTTAAGTTATTAACACAGGAAGAAAGATTTGATTTGGTGGCAAATAATTAGATGTATTTTACAGCAGGAAACTGACGTCTCCCATCCCAGCTCGTGTCCCATCCCAAGTGCTCAAGTTCCCTATTCACCTACGCCCAAAGCCATCCTTTTGGTCCTTCCTCTTGAATTTCTGTGATTCATTCAAATCTGTACATTCTTTGCAAGAAGAAAGAGCAGTTGGATTCAGTGGAAGAGACATTAAACAGAACCACCAGAGAAGCATCTCTGTCCTGCCCTCAAGAGCTCCATCGGTGAACGGTCCTTTTAAAGTGCATGTGTGAAGAAAAGGGATACTGGGAGTAGAGCCCCCTAAACTCCAGTGGGGACCCATCTCTCCCCATCGTGAGAAAGGAGGAATAAAATCTTCAGCAATTTTATCTGCTACCTTAAGCCGTGTCCGCCCTCCTCATCTCCCCACCTACCCTGAATGCTTAGACCCTGCCCTGCAGGGAATCAGTTATTCAGGGAGGTGTGAGAAAGCCCCAGCCTCCAACCTCTGGAATGCTCTCATGGCAAGCTCATGAGCACATCCCTGTTCTCTACCCCAGCTAGCCTGTTGCTGCTCCCTGAGGCACTGGAGCCCTCTTGATTCCCCAAGAGGAACTGGTCAGCCACTGAACTGGATGGAATAAATCCAGTCCTGCAGGGCAGAAAGCAGCCTTGCTGGTGAACCTGTCACAAAGTCTGTGCAATTTCTCCACCTGATGGTGAGGCTCACCTACAGGGGACGCCCTAGCTCACAGCCTCAAAGGGATCATTTCCCTGCATTAGAACGCCCTTCGATAGACAGCTTGACCTCCTGGGGAATGAAAGAGGGACGGAGCAGAGAGGGCCGAGGCTCCTCTGCCTGCGTGCTGTATCTTTGGAAGCCTGGGCCTGCCCAGCTGTGCTGACTGCCAGTCTCAGGCTGAGAGGGTTCTGCATGAGAGCTCTGGGCTGCGCTGTCCCTATCTGTGTGGCTCTTCCTTTCAGCAGCTCTGTCAGATGGTTCTCTGGACCCCTGAGCTGTTCTTTCAGATCTCTCCCTAGTAGATATCAACTGATCTGTGAGAGGGTAGTTAGCCTGAGAAGCGGAGTTGCCATTCATGCTCTGTAAACTGATTGATATGCAGACATCGCCCACTTGCAGCCTGTGACAGGGCAAAGCAAAGAGCTGAGCAGTCCGCCCTGGGCTACAGGAGGACCAACCCTGGCCATACACAAAGAAGGGATGCTCTGGGGGCACATCAATGCTCACTTTACTTTGTTGTTCCCCAACCACAAAATGCAGTGTGACAAGCCCAGGCCACTGGCTTTCCTGAATATCCACCACAGTGCTGGAGTCGATCTTCAGGCCCCCGCTCACCTCCGCACTGCGAACAAAGTCTTGAGTCTGCAGGTCCTCCACCCGCTTCAGCTCTCCTGTAGCCAGCTGGATGATGGCTCCTTTCATGAAGTGAGAGGGCAAGTGTGAGGAGCTGGGTGGCTGCAGCTGGGCCAGGTCCTTTTCAAGCACACCTCCTCGAGCCTGTGCATCTGGGCTCTGCCTCACCAGGGTTTCTGAAGTGGAAGACCTGATGGGCTCAGATCCAACGGGAACCAGGACTGGCTTGCCGTTGGCTATCACCATTCCTTTGGTTAATTGTCTTTGTCTAACCGGCTCTTCGGGGGACATTACATATGGACTGCTGGACTGGCTTTTCTCAGCAGCAGCCCTTTCCACTGCGTTCCTCAGCGTGTCCTTTGACTCCCCCTGCTGATCAGGGATATTATGGCAAAGGTTTAAAGGGCTCGGGTCATCTTTCCTCTGGGCTGCCAGAACATGATAATCCTGAGATGCCAACACCCCCACCACCCTCTGAACCTCCAGATCAGCATCTGGGGTGCTTCTGTGAGCTGGCACAGAGACCTCTGTTCCCAACGTCTGGTAACCTGAAAGGAACTGTCCATCGACCACACATCCTGCTGCAGCCCCCGGCAGACAGTCTTCAGCTTTACTGCTGGCAGAGTCCACAGCCTCGCTGGTCCTCCTCACCACATTATGCTCCAGATGTCTCTGTCCACCATTGGCAGCTGCTACCTCTGAACTCAGCTGACTGTCTTGCTGAGGAGACTCTGGGCTTCCACCTGCTGTAGGTGTCTCATAGGCCGAATACCCTGGTGGGAGGCGGGACATCTGATAATAAACAGGAATTCTACCTGGTGCAATATCTAACGCCTGGGTCCCAGCATGGTGCTGCATCTGGCCAGAAGGAGAGACTGCAGAAGCGGATTTGTTGAAGGTGTGGGTAGGAGAGGTAGTCTGGGGGGAAGGAGCGGCTTCTTCCGTGAAGACAGAGGCATATGGCACAAAGTGGGGGACATGAGAGGCGGTGAGGTTGGTGGAAGGAGACAGAAGAGGACTAGGCAGAAAGCCAGGAGGGACAGCATAGGGCACTGTGTAATGAGAGCCGATGAACTGGAGGGACGTTGGAGGGATCTGCGTGTAGTGGATAGGAGGGTAGGGCACCCCCGGGTGCTGGATTATTGGCGAGGTCACATTGAAGGCAGGGGGCAGGGGGCTCACGTTCACCACGGGGTGCAGACCCGTGGGGGAGAAGGTGGCAGGTGGCACTGCCACTTTGTAGAGCATCCCATATTGGTCCACCGTCAGCCCTGCCACTGCTTCCGTGGCCTCGCCAGGGCCCTAGCGTGTCCGGGCCCACTCGGGGCCCTCGCCCGAGGCCTGGGCACCCCCCGCCCGTCCCGCCTCGGTGCCGGTGCTGGCGGAGGGAAGTTCCCGCTTCTTTGGCGGGAGGCACTCCTGGCTCCGCTCGTGGCCCGCTCTCATGATGCCCCACGGTGACCCGGCAGCCCCGGCCGCGACGCTCGTTCATGGGGGCACCCGCAGGGGC